TTGATATGGTTAAAACCTGTGTTATCAAGTTTTTGGCGCCGTTGCCGGGGAAAAATTACATTGTCTTCGAATTTGGGATTGAAATTTAGTGTAAGACACTAACCTTTTTTTATTTTTTATTTAATTTTTGTATAGGTTTCCAAAGTGATGACCATGGACTTCAATGATGAACCACAAGAGGAAGAAGACACATTCGAAGATGAGCCTTATGTGGAGCTTCCATTTGATGAGAGTGTTCTTACACTAGAACAAAAAGTGGAGTTGGATGAGCTTTACAAGGAAAATCCAACCTTGACAAGGAGAGACTTAGCGGCTATGATCCGGGTGAATCTCATCTCACACCGGGCTTCACTTGAAGGAAGGGAGCTCACATTTTCTGAGATTACGGTAGCTCATGCACTTGAAGAGGTAATTTATTGGGTTTCACCATGCCAACTAGAAGGTACATACGACTCAACCTTTGAATTTCATGTTTATGAGGATAGTTACATGCCTTGTAGTGAGGATGTAGTTTCTAGTTTGCAGACTCCTGTGCTTATTGATGAATGTTATGATTTGACATGTGAAACTGAAAGACTAGATACTTTAAGAGTAGAAAAACTTGCTAGAGATTATCATGAAGTATGCTTTGATATCAATCATCTGTGTGCTTTAAGTGTTCATGATCTCGAGTTTAAGTTTTCAATGCTTGAGAAATCTAGTTCTCWTCTTGATAGTTCTTGGCTAGGAGATGTGGTTAATGTAGATGAGCTCTTGAATGGGGTAGAGGATCCTAAGGTTGAGATAGATCCTGAGAATGAGAATATTGTGTTTTACATGATTGATGGGGATGAAGTTGACTATTATTTGATGAACTCATTTAACCCTGAAGTTGACTTTATCTTTCCATCAAATGCATTTGATTCTTATGAGCATTTAACCATAGAAGATTTAAAGATATATGCTACATTGTTAGTAAAGTCCCTTGATGATAGTTTTATCTTTTCGTCATGGATGTGTTCTCTTGCATATTTTGTTCATCTTACTGATAGGAGAATGACAAAAGGCGCATTGGCCCA